TCACACGTACAGCCTGCTGCATTACCACACGGGCCGTAATAACTGTGTTAACAGCTAATCCTCTTTGGTGTTTTCCCTTCTCCAGTGAGGCTGCTGGTTCAGAGCAGCAGACTGCAGGCAGGTATAAAAGAGTGTCTCCATGGCAACCCAGAAAGAAATCCCGGCCCCTGCTCCCGAGCAAGCGCCGGTCCCATCCAGAATGAGCGCACCAGCCTAAGGCCTGGCCTGTCACTTACACTTCCCGGTGCCGCATCTTCGGACTTCATTTATTGGGCGTTTAAAGGGATTGTTTCGGGACATTTTCGGCGCCTTTCAGCCTCGTTTTTTTTTTGAAGGAAATGTAATTTAATTTACAGATTCAAACGTTGAGCTCTGCTCCGTCTTGCAAATTAACGTCTGTCCTCCCCCCCCCCCGCGTTGAAAACGCGCATATGAACAGAATGGCAAATGAGAAGCCAATGGCGCATCACCGAGGCCTGACAAATGTGCTCTCACAGAAGTACGCACGGTTCACAGGTGGTTGGTTGCGAGAGGCGCTCGTTAACGGGGAGGGCCAGACAGGAAAGCGGGACAGCTTGCTTTCAACGACACCGCAGAGAGACTCGGTGAGGTTTAGAAACGAGGAAGTGAGAATGCCCGAGACAACAGGGAGGCGGCATCGCGCTGTGGCCGCGGGGGAGACGGACTCGACAGAGCGTGTGACGCGGCTGCCTGGTCCCCCAGGGCGCCGCTCGGCGAGACCCGCACTGGGGACGAGGAGAGGCAGGATTGTCAAGCGAGGCTCCACGGAGGATCAGCACACAGAAAAAAAAAAAAGCACACAGGATGGTCTTGCATCGCCAAAGACAGTGGAACTAAGCGCCTGCCTGGCAGCCTCAAGAGGGTCCAAGACTGGACCCCTGGTTATCCCACAGTTTCTGGTTTATCCTAGAGTACTGTACAGTATATACTGTAACTGCAAAGATGAATTCAAGCTGCTGAAGAGCAGAAGACATGTCATGTTTTCAGAGGAACAGCCATGTGTTTCATATTATGAAATGCTAACAGAGAAAAAAAAAACTTCTTACAGTACTCCTTAAGAGTTTTTTCATAAGAAGTTGAATTAAATATTCCATTCCAAGCAAACAACACAGCTCTACCCGTCCATTGAACTGTGTGTTGAATAGCAACAAGGAGCTGTGGAGCATTAACTGAAAATTGATATTAACAATGGGATATTTTAATACACTTCTTGCAATAATGAAGACAATGGCCACAGAGCCTAAGTCCTTACGGTTCTCATTAAAATGATATATCAGGGCAGTCATTAAAATGATTACGCTTTCATGGAGCGCTGTCTTTTGATTCGGCAGCTGTCCGCCACAGCCGGGGAATTTCAGACCGGACAGTATGTTTCCTGCCTCTTACATGAGCTCCAAAAAACCACACTTCCGGATCAACGGCGGTGTGTAAGTGAATCAAGTCCATCTACTGCATACATTGCTGAGATTCCTAACACAAATTAAACCCCCAAAAAACTTTCTTGGCATCAACACAAGAGTCGTTCACATTCTAAACTGTGTTTGTGAAAGCTATGACAGCTGAACCAATTTAGTAAAAAATATATATTTTAATATAGTACTGTTACAAGAAACTTGCTTTCATTTCAATTACTGCAGACCTGCTCAATACATTTACTATTATTATTATTATTATTATTATTATTATTATTATTATTATTATTATTATTGACATGCTGTGCTGACAATTAAACTGACTGTTCTCAGCTGGCAAATGTGATTCTATATTTGTAGCTTAACTATTGGATTTTGTGCCTCTGCTAGAGCCTTTGCTTTATCTGCTAAATCTCAACATTAGTCTTCCAACTCTCCACTGTCCGCTTTCAGAATCAGGTAGCTCATTAGCCTCAGTATGAGCTCCTCTTCCCTTGTCTTTCACTGCAGCAGTGATGATCGCTAATTACCAGCAGAAATGGATTACTGGCCCATCAAAAGGAGATCCTGTCTCCGGCAGCGCTGGCTTGGGCGAGACAAAATGAGGTGTCCAAGCTGTGGATGTCATGCACTTTGTTAAAAAAGCATTTAATTGTGGGGTATTTTATATTTTGTTGTTTGTTCTGTACAAGTCTGTTGGATGGTACAAGCTGAGATTGTAGTGGTACATGTGTGTGTGTTTCAGTTAAACACAGTTTTTTGTTCATAAGGAAACTGCAGATTTATTTATTTAATTTGGAGCAGATGGGATTCTAAAATAGGTCCTTCTAATATCTGGAAAAGATCACTTTTTAACCCACAAATGATCAACCCTGTGCACATAATAGACAATACACAAGGATAACATACTACAATGGGGCTGTAGATGTTTCAAAGGGATATATTCCACACCATATCACAACATTAAATGTCTGATTTATCTATTTATGAACTGTATTTATTTTAATAAGCCTTACAATATTACAATTATGATGTGAGATGGCAAGACCAATCATTTAACATAGAGTTGTTCCCTGGGGGGAGAAAGACGATTAAATTATTAAAATCAACATGCCTGTACATTTGATTGTCTTGAGACTGCAGGGCAGCAAAACTATAATCCTGAGAAGCAAGCAAAATAATATATAGTGTTCATAAGGGGACAATGGTTGCTATTCTAAAAGGATACAATAAAGTCTTCCTGTTGCTTTCTTTTTTTTCTCATAATCCATTTTCTTAAACAGTAGTTTACCTTGTAAGGAAATTACTTAAAGCACTCATAAATAAAATTATACCGCTACTAAAGTCAGGAAAAATCACTCTCCAGCAAAACAGTTTAACTGTAGACAGCAAATGGTTGATATATAGGAAGTGATATGCTGAAAGAATGAAACATTATTATTATTAGCTATTATATATTTGTGTCCAAATAATTTCCCAAATCAAGAAACCTTGCTGGAATACACACAAAGATGTGTTACAAGTATGTCCCTTGAAACGCAAGCTTGTGAGATATAAGAACAGACGCTTGCCAGAGGAAGTGACACAAACACACAAACCGTTGGAGCCCAGAACGAGCACTGGTAACTCTGTTGGCCAGAGCCAGCAGAGTGTTGGGATAGGTGGAGCAAAAGCCTTGGAAAGAGGAACCATCCATTTAAAGAGAAGCTAATTGATCATCCATTCAAGCCAATCCTGGAGGCACAAAGCAAAATGAAGAGAGGTATTCAGACCCAGCGTGTGTTGTAAATGCGATGAAAAACATGGAGGACCGCCAAGGCAAACCAAGAGACTGCAACGGACACGGCCTGACCTGGACTTCCTGCTCCGACCAGCTGAGCTCCTCAGAGGGATCTCTGAATCCCTGAGCAGGACTCAGGCCAACTGCTTTTACATCACAAGCCTTTAACGTCACGCCATCGGGTAGAACAGGAGTGTAACAGTAACTTTGGAGAGACAACACGGGTGCTTCTAAGCCCAACTGCCTTTAGGAAAACCGTCATTTTTAGTGGTAGTCCTCAGGCACGGCCAGTCCAGGAATTTTCAGGGTGGCGTGGGCTGGGCAGCTGGGCGATCACACCGCGAAAAGTGTGAGTGAACTGCTACAGTACAGTATGTGTGGCTGATGTGTCGAGATCTTGCACATCGTTACCATCCTGGATAACAGGTGGCCCTGCCGACAGGCGAGAAAGACCGTGTAAGAACGGGCCAACTGGACAGTCATCACCGGCCGCGAGGGCTGCGATCCGTGTGGGGGAGGCAGGCGAGCACAGTACACCAGAAAGACATGCAGCCGAGCTCATTCCGAAACATGGGCAGCCGCCGAAAAGCAGACTAAATCTGTGGCACAAGCATGGTACAACCGGTGTAACAGCGCGAAAAAAAACGCCACCCACATTTACAGGAGGACCAGCAGTCGGGAGGTTGGTTCCCAAAGAAACAGGGGTTATTTTCAACGTTTGGGGACCTAAGACACTTCCCTGGTCATACTGTATATTCCTAATAATGAAGATAGACACTTAATAAAAACGCTGCCAGTAAAAACAAAATGTGGCACGTTGCTAAAGTGAAAGAGGTATCAGGTCAAAAACGTGTTTACCCTGCTGTCCAAACACATTTTTTTTAGAAACGAGGCCTTGCCTTGCATGTACAGTATTACTCACTGCCGACAGCAGTGCCGTTTTTACCTTTTACTAATTATAACCTTAACATGACCCCCCGAGACAAAAGGCAGAGTAAATTAACACTGCGTGGAAGAGAAGTAACGCGGAGTGGTGCCGTGCCTTTGTGGCCGTGTTTCTCCCTTCGCCTGCTGTAGGACCAATAAAGTTGACAAAATCGGAGGAGGATGGTTTCTCTGCTTCCATGAGAATACCATCCCAGATAGGGCTTGGGAACAGCGGTGTCGTAGGCTGAGTATAATTTGGAATGTATGTTTATATGAACAGTTTACAGTATATTTGCAGCATATATATGTGCACTATTCATATATATATATGAATATGCAAGCAAGCAAAAATATCCCATTGAATAAATTAAAAGTTCTCCGTTTGAGAGCCCTTACATTTATGAAGGGCCACCTCTGACAAATTATCCCATCATATGCTCCGGTTTTGCCCATTTAACGCACACTGATGTTACACGTGTAATTAACAACAAATCATTAAGGCTCTTCCGTATCTCTTGATCAGCTAGAAGAGGGTGATTTATCACTGGTATTAGGAAACTGGAGTCGGGCAATGGTCTGTGTGCGCGTTTGTTTGGTTTTTTTGGGAGTATGGGTAAATACTGATGAAAGGGGGAGATGTAATCTAATGGGCACTGCAGCTTTTAAAGGGATCCCTATGACTTTAACAATGAGGATGTGCCAGGCTACAACACGGAGAAAGAATACTAGTTTCAAGCTCATCGGGGGCTAGAATCACTTCACATTCATTTCGACTAAACGTTGTGCGCTTACGTATCGATGTGTTGTTTCATTTAACGACGGGACTGAGGCATATGAGCAATTAAACGTGTTTCACTGACCGTGGTTTTAACTGGAACGTAGAGCACTTGTTTCTCCCCTCCGCTGATCTCATCTGGAACACCAAGCTGAAAGCCCTTGGACTTTACCCAAAATTTAAACTTTGCATTGTCTGTGGAGCTGGACTCGGATCCGTTCAGAAGCTGTACAATCCGGTCGTATTTTTTACGGGTCACCGTCTTCGTCTTCCCGGAATCACCATATGTCCTGAGGCACCAGTCCTGAAACTGGCGATACATGTCCCGATCTCCCTCCATTATCCTGAGCAGGGTACAGAAATGGTCCTCGCCGTTGTCCCTTTTCGCCTTCCTTATCCTCCGACTTTGCACCTGTTCGCCTGTTGTCGGTTATACGAACAAATAAATAAATATATATCCCTCAGTCAAGCCGATGGCGCCTTGAAATGCGGGTCGGAGTTTCTAGATTTGCCTTGGCGGCTGGGCTGATGTCGAGGTCCCGCATCCAATCTCCCCCCCCCCACCCACCCCTGTTAATTTTCAATTCATCGAGATCTCCCAGGGCAAGACAATCGGATTCCGGTTGCTTATAGTCTGTCTCTCTTCCATACGTGACCAGTTTCAGTATTCCGCACGCAGGACAACGCCACTTTTTTTTCGGGATATAATGTGCCCCCCCCCCCCGGGAAATTCCAATATATTCCACCTTCCCGGTCTCTGTGGTATTTCACACACCGGACTCTACCTGGCATCGACCGGATTCAACAGACGGAGAGAAATTAGTTCTCGGTTGTCTCTTTTTCTCTCTCCCCCCTCTCCCTCCCGCAACCCAGCGCTGTTTTGTCCAGGTCTGTGCCTCTCCCCAGTAACCGTGGAAAAAAAAAAAAAAAGAGAAAGAAATACGAGCCAGGTCAGGACTCTGCGTTTTAAAACGGACTGGTTGGCGATGCTTGTTGGCCTGGAACCAAAACAAATACTCAATTTAATTAATAATTATAATAGCAGTTGCTCGGGCCTTTCATAGTATCCTGTACTCCTTTGACCAGAAGCGGAGTTGGAGCTGATGGATGTTTGGCTCTTGAATGAATGGAGCTCTTTATACATACAGAGAATATTTGACTCCCCAATCTGGAATACAAAACTAGATCTGTTCATTTATTGAGTAGGGGGAGAAAAAAACCCCACCAACAACAACACACACACACAAAAAAAAAAACCCATGTCACAACCAGATGTAAACGCAAATCCTGTATCGATCTGTCCGCTGTTTCGTGAAGCTTTCGGACGTGGACGTCTGCCCCCCGACTCCAGCGTCTTTATCCTCCCAAGCACACGACGGGGGCTGTGTTTCTCGCCTGCACCGCTCCGGAACCCGAAAAGTCTTCCTATCCCGCTGTCGGCTCCGTCCGTCTCCTGGACGCGTCTGTCTGTGTGTGTGTGTGTAGCGCCGGGGTCCACACGGATGTCACCCTGTTCGGCCAGCCCTCCCCAACCCACCCCTGCCCATAAATTGGAGCCCCGTCCTTTGTGAGGAACGATCTACCTGGCGGGGTCCCAAAGCAGGTCAGTGCCACCGCTCCTATCCTCCGGCTCGGGAATCTGTTATCCTCATTTGAAGAAGTGAAAATACGAACGGTCAGCGGGTTTTTGTTTGTTTCTTTGCACCGTCTACCAGGACCCCTCCACTATATATATTTTGAAATGTGCGAGTACGGTGTCTCTTTCAGCGGCACTAAATTACGTGAAATGCTCGACGGCCGGACCAGCGAAATATCCCATGCCTCTTTCCCGCAGTCCTCAAAATTCCTCTCTGGAATTGAAATTATATAACTGGAGAAAGTGATGGAGCATTTTTATTGGATTTTTTGGGCTTCCTGGCTTGATCCCTTGAGGCGGCTCCCCATCCCCTTGTGCGGCAGCTACCACGGCAGGATTGTAGGCTCCCCTCCCCGTCTCCGTCTCCGGATTGTGCAGGAGGTCTGGCGGCGGCTCCAGCCGGGACTGACAGCACGGGCTGAGCGAGCGCTCGGCGCAGAACCTCTCTCCTCGAGTTCTCAGCCATCTGATTGGCTGCCGGGACAAAAGTTTCTGTGGAGACGGCCGAGTCGTGACGTCACAGAAAGAATTGTCCCATTTAGGGATCCAGGGCAGTGCGCATGCTTCTCCTGGCAGGTTGGTTCGTGGGATCCCTCGTGCGAGGCAGGCAGGCAGGCAGGCAGGCAGCACTGCGCTGGCAAGACAGCGAGGTGGCAGAAAGGAGCGAAAATGCAGGTGAATTATTCCAGCCTGGTTGCTATGGCGATTAATCTGCATGGTGCGGGAAGCCAGCTACATCGTACTGCTGGCCCGGGTCACGAGAAATGCGGGTTAAATGGCCAGTTGATCTAAAATGTACACGATGATGAGTAGGGACCGCCGGTCCAGGGTCTTTATAAAACAGCGAGTAGCTAATATTATCCAGATAAGCACAAAGGTGGATAGATCACTTTTAATCTGCCGATTTGGGACCGTGCTTTGGGAAATGTGCTGGGTTTACAGTTTTAAATAGTGCAGAGCTGGAAGGCGAAAGGCGATGGTTCACTGAGAAATTAATTTGCCAAAGGCTGTCTTTAAATGCAGTTTTAGTGGATGGAGGAGGAGCATATCGGCGAATTTGGAGTCAGAAAACCGCCTGTAATGTTGTCACCCTCAATGATGTATTATTTGGTTTTAAAACGTGAGGAAAATGTACAGTAAGTGTTGGTGATGTCTCACCGATGGGCGGGTGGCGCAGTGTTTATCTCTGTGGCTCTGGGTTCAGTGCCGGACTTTGGAAAACTGTCCGCGTGGAGTTTGTGTGTTCGGTGGGTTTCCTCCCACTCTCCAAAGACACGTGGGGAGGTGTTAGGGAGCGTCTGCCTTCAAATGGACTGACGTCCCATCCTGGATGTATCCTGCCTTCCTTGCTGGGACGGGGTCCAGCTCCCCAGCGGACCCCGGATGGGCAGAAGCAGTGAGAAAACGGCTGGGTGGTGATGTTTTACAATCCATCTGCTGAGGCTGAATGGCATCCATCATCTCTCGTCAGTCTGCCGAATGGAAATGGAGTAAGTCACGAATGTGTGTTAGATCAGCTCATACAAGGTAACCTTCACCCAAAATAACTTTGTCATAACACCGGAAGTTTCTCCCGTTTAACCCTCTATCATTTAATACCAGCTTCATTCATCGCTAGACATTTCCCCCATCGCTTGTGATAAGGCTCTGGGTGTACATTCGTCATATAATATATAATAAGCCCCAGACTACATTTGAGGCTGTCCTACAGCTGGGACAAGAGCATATTCCCTTGCAACATGGGGAAGCACTGCTGTGTGTCCTGATCCTGCGTTGTGAATCACAAAGGTCTTGGGGATATTGATTAAGTTGAATTAAGATTAAATTCGTGTCAGGAATTTTGTCTGTATCACAGGGCCCTACAGTACATACCGTGAGGCTGACACTGGCGTTAATATCTATCACCCCAAGACAAAGTACACTGTTCCCTTCCATTTTTACATCAGATATCTTCACTTTATTTTTTGCTTTTGGTAGAGCTACTGATTGGCTGTGTTTTAGCTGTCTGCAGACAGTATCCTTCCATGGTACGGCCCTGATTGAATTGAATGAAATGCTTTGGGGATTAATGCTTTGGGGTGCTCTGTGCCAAACGTCCTGCTCAAGACGATTGGTGAAAGTGTGCACACTTTACAGACGGCTGTGGTCAGAGTCTTGCCCTTGTCCGACCCCGGGGGTAGGTGCCCGGCGCTTCTCTTTTGCTTTTCTCCCGTGCCACGCTCTGCCCTCACTTTGTGTAGAGTGTAAAAATCACCTTTCCTCTCCCTCTGTGGACTACTGGTCTGTTTTATCCCAATACCACCTCTCCCTCGTGCGGCAACACAAAGCTTATGCATTCCCAAGATCCCTCTGCACAGCAATAGTTTGAAACTGCTACAGTATTCCTGCAGATAGGGGGGGATCAGAGGAAGTGTGTGTGTAAAGATGTCCTGGGTTTTGCTGAGGAGTCTTCCTGGTGATGTCCAGTGAGGGCTTGGGTGTCCCACTCGCTGTGTAGTTTCAGTCAAGCTGGCCATAGCTTTGTTAACACCTACTTTTAGTTATTTTTGAGCGACCTGAATCTCATTTGATACTGGATAGATGGCCATATCAGTTTAAACTTGATGGCTGAGGGAGCGTCTTATCTGTCGCCCTCAAAAGGCGAATGCTCAACTCTGACAGGACCACAGCTACCAATGGGCTGCTTAAACAGCACATCTGTCATGGCAGTGTTTCCCAGCATGCATGTCTCTTAACGAATAGGTCATGGTTTGCATTTCCTAGGTAATTGTTGAAAGCACAAAGAGAATAGAGTAACACCCCTGTATACTTAGATTATGTTGACATAATTTAGTGATTTCTTCATTTCAAAGATAGCATGGCTAAATCCTGAGAATAAGACATTCACTCCATATATGAATATTTATATATTATCACGGTTGTGTATAAACGATTCATAAACTGTGGTGTGAGCCCAATGTGCAGTCAGAGGATTATAATATCATAAAGACTAGTTTATTCTGGTGGATGTTTCTGAAGTGTATGCAGAAGTATAATTTCTAAGAATACTAGTGACGGCATCTGGGTGATGCAAAACCATTAGGAGCCTTTAAGAGCTCCAGGAGGAAGTAATCTGAGTAATACTGGTACTGTGTTACTCTAGGGGTCTTCATGCTACACGTTAATGACAAATGACTGTAAAAGTGTGGCCTTTCAGAATGTTAGCATGTTTTTAAATTGGCTTTTGCGTTATGTAGAAATGGTGCAGTGATTAACTGTGCTGTGCTGGGGCCCTGGGTTTAATTCCAGAGGTGTCTTGCTATCTGCGTGGAGTTTGCCTGTTCTCCCCTTGTTAGTGTGGATTTCCTCTGGGTGCTCCGGTTTCTTCCCACACTCCAGAGACGTACTGGTAGGCTAATTGGCTTCCGTACAAATTGGCTCTTACATGCGCATGTGTGTGTGTTTAAATCAGTTCTGCCCTGTGATGGACTGGCGTTGCTTGGATAGGCTTCTGCTCTCCCACAGCCCTGAAATGGGTGAAGTAGGTAGAGATAAATGGATAGATGGCTCTTGGAGTCTTCACTTTGCAAAAGGACTCGATCTTTTGGCAATGAAGTAAGAAGGCTGTTCTTCTAGCATGACAGGAGCTGATAGCCCCACAGAGAATTGGCTATCCTCACACACTCTCCATAGACCAGAGCAACTCTCATCCTCGTGGACCAGGGACTCTGTGCAATAGGGGACAAAATGCAGACTAACGCTCAATTTTGACAACGGACAAACAACTCTACTGGAGAGATAAGAGTAGTGACAAATGATCTAGACTGCATATATTTCAGGTTATCTGATATCTGGATAGTTGGGGCATTTTCTTGCCCTCCTTTTAAGGGTCTCCTGATTGTAGTCCATGTGTCACTCTGTAGGGTAAATTAGGAATGCTGACAGCACCATAGACCATGAGTGGGACTTCAGTTTTGATGGCATGACCCTCCTGATTTCTTAGGCTGCATTTGCAGATTTCAGGCGATGCTGTATTTCTTTGTCAATATCAGCCATCTATGAAAGATATCTCCCAAGGTATGGGAAGTGCTCCACATTCTTCAGACACTTATCATGAATCTAAATCAATAGCCCTGAAGTGTGCATTACGCATTTGCTGATGGAGAATTTCTGTCCTCTGAATGATAAGTCTCATCTTCACATACTTCACATCTGCCTCCGTAAACATGTCAACATGTCAATTAATAGGCCATCAATAGGCCATTAGGCCATCAATAGGCCAATAGGCCATTTATTGCAAAGTAAATATTGCGTCATCACCAGCATCCTGGAGTCTAATGACTGTAGTCACGGTGGTTTTAGTTTTGGACTGGAGTGATCGGAGATTAAATAATCTGTGGTCCATTCAGTAAATCAGCTCCACTTCAGAAAGAATCTTGTCTGTTATTGAATGGAATATGGCACTCTGAAATATTGTTTGATTCCTGCTCAGACTTCAAAGGGCCCTTGTAATGGATCTGCTAGTAAGAAGTACTGCATGCATATCATCATGAAACAGCTGGATGAAGACACATTTTGGAAGACATCCATGCTTCAGAAGGATCTTAAAGAGTGTCTCACAATTCACAGGGTGAAACTCCACCAAAGTGCCACACCATACTCCAAATAAACCCTATCACCAGCTCTAACATGTAATAATAGTCCTATGCATAATACCAGCTCTAACCCTAATGGTTATCTGAAGACACGCTAATCCCAGCTCTATATACTCTATATACTGTATAATCCTACCTCTCACTTCAACACCTCATGCTTAACGTCAGACGTTAATGTTCTAAAGTGTAGAACTAAACCTCCAAATCTAACCACTACACATAACCCTAAACGTAATCCTTACTACAACTACTTTACTACAGTTATAATTTTTTAATTCATTTTTATGTTATTACCTTACCCCACGTTACCTCAACTATTTTACACCTAGCCTAGATCCCATGTCTAACAGTAACCATTAGCCTAAGCCTGGCCTTTATCTAACCCAAAGCCTTATTCCCAGTCCTACATCTAACAATAACTGTAAACGTAACTCTGTGAGAAATGCTAATCCTAATGTAATTCAGACTCTTCACTTTACTCTTAAAGGTGCTTTAGAGTAACGTACAGTATATAAAATATATGTATAAACTTACATAATAATGTAACAAATATGGCCGCCCAGGCTGAGGGAGGTCTTCTTTAGCTTAGCCGGCAAGACCCCTGTTGAGTGACACAGGAGACCCGGGTTTGCACCCATGAGGTGGAGGGACAAACTGGGGTGAGAGCGGTGGGGGCACATGCCCCAGACCCCAAGTCTTTTATACTGGTGTCAGGAGTGGGATGGGATAGCCCTTCACTGAGGAAGGTGAATTAAGCAGGGGAGAGTGTAACGAATATGCCCCTGCGCATAACAGGGATGCCGGCAAGACCCCTGTTGAGTGACGCCGGAGACCCGGGTTCGAGCCCATCTGGTGAGGGACGGGGAGCAGCGAGGGCACAAGCCCAAAACCCAAATCCATTACAATCTAGATTTTAAGCTAACCACTTCTTCCCATTCCAGTCATGGAGGAATCAGAGGCTGTTCTGGCAAGCAACAGATACAAGGCAGGATACACCCTGGACAAGACATCAGCCCATCACAGGACACATCTCTCTTCTGTGTATCTATCACTCACACCAGGCCTAACATAGTTACAAGCATCTCGTTGGACTGTGGGAGGAAACCAGGGCACCCAGAGGAAACCCCACACAAACTCCACACAGACAGCACCCCAGGTCTGGAATTGAACCCAGGGTCCCAGCCTTGCAACACAGCAATGCTCACCACTGCGTCACCGTGCCACATTATTTTAAACCAAATCAGACGTTCAAAGATGTTCTGAAAACATTGCAAAACGTTGTATCAAAATGTTGCAAGAATTCTTAAAATCGGGGTTGATAAGAATACGTGCCCTCACTGTCCCTATAATCATCATCATATGTCAAGAAACAATTGAGCCTCAGTACCAGGATCTGGATCAGACACCAGGTTATATTGGTTATATTGAAGCTGTAATATGTCTTCTGGCAGGGGGCAAACCTCCTGCGATCATTTCCTACTTTCTAGGAGTCTGCTCTCTCTCGGTTTCTGCACTGCAAGCGATGGGCTCACTAATTCTGTTTTTTTCCAAGGATGAGGTCGATAAAGCAGTGTCCTCTGGGTAGCTTCAGAAGTCCTGGGAAGAAACACACACACATAAGAGCAATGGGCTGTATTAAGCCCAGTTTTTTTTTCCCAAGCAATGCATTAAATTCTTATCTACATTAAACGAATAGATTTTTAAATATGTTATCTGTGGCTGAGGCATTGGTTAGCAGGCCTACCGTACCACTAATTTAAAAGATTTTTAAAGGCTATGTTTCCATAATATTGATGTGTACTGTACATGGGGTAGCTTTTTCAGTTCCCTGGTAAATACACTTATAAGAGCTGTTCAAAGAAGTAGCCAATTTTTACATACGTACTTTTAAGTGCCTAACATTATTTCAAGAGATGAACAATATCCAGTTTAACAAGGATTTGCAGTGTTATTTGATTCGGATCTATGGTCCTTTTTTGTCTGTCTTTCTATTGTTAAGACTAAAATACTTATCAGTTCAAGATGACAAACGTAAGTGTTACTTTAATATGAGGTGTTTAGAATACGATTCTGTAATTATACCAAAAAAAGTTTTTGGCTTGACACCTGAAGAAAACGACCTTGTTTTGACTTTCAATTGTTCTTTTTCTGCAAGTAATAGGATACATTACTAGTGCAATGTGGCCTGTGTGAAGAGTTTGAATACTAAAGGTACCAAAGTGATGTGCTGCTGATGTAGAGTATTTATATCACAGCGAACGGTATAAGCTGTGCAGTATGACACACATTCACATAGAAAAGTCACATAATGTCTAGAACTGAAATTGCACACATGCTAGTAATTAATGTGCAGGAAAAGAAAAGGAACAAACTCGATACTCTCCTGGGATTATTAGGATTTCATCCTGGAAATGGTGTTTTTTGGAATTTTATCAGAAAGAATATATCTCCATTTTTTTCCCACTGTTTTCCATTTAGTCTTGATTTTAGTTTATGATTTGAGCTCTTACACGTTGGCTGCAAAATATGTTTGGTAGCAGCATGGCAGCGACAAAACTAATTTCATTAATTTTCTTCCTTTTCAGCAAATTAAAGCCTGCAGCCAAGCAGTGTGGCCAGTAATTCTCTACTAATTCTCTGGAGATTGTAGGTAGAAGAATGGAAAATATTGCAAATATTTCAGCTCTGGCATTCATTTATCAGCTGTAATCCATTCAAATTTAGAATTACACTATTAGTATAATGTTTTTTTAAAGGATAGAATGAGTTTTGTTGCGAAGTTTTGTTCGTGGTCTGAAACTTTCAAACTGTGGTAATCGCCCTGTTAAATGTCACTCCTGGTGAAAAAAAACAGAAAAACAACCACAGAAAGGAACCCAGATTCCCTCGAGTATTTAGAGAACAGCATGCCAGAAGGGTTCTCCAACAGTAGAGCCACGTCAAGGTTTTGTTGACACCAAGATGATTTTTGCTCACCGAGTGTGGCACGGGCATGTGGAGTGGTACTCTGATTGTTCTGTAAACTAGAGCCATAGATGTGGAGCTCCAGGTGTGATGGGTAGTTCCCACAGAGCTGCACCTGAAGGGACTGACGGCAGCCTGACCTCACACTGTCCTGCTCTACGTTGATCAGGTCCTGAGGCCTCACTTGCCGCCCTTCCTGGGGGCTCCTTCTAGCCGGACAACAAGCATCCTCGTGCTGCTATGGCAACACAAAGGCTTTTGTGCAAGAATGGGAATGTGATGGATGCGCTACAATCCAAACCTTTGCCCCTGCAAAGGTGATTGTAGGGCCTTGGTTTGAAGCCACCTAGTGGAGTGGAAATTAGACACACTTGGCTTAACTGATTACTGGGAATCCAGTGCGAGTGAAGTCCTGCGTGTGGAAAAGATCACGTGTGATGGGTTCAGTGGGTAATTGGCCAGGACCATGGATTACACCTCTGGTCTGTATTAGCAGCCAGGAGGCAAATGCCTAGGAGTCTCCATTTATGTCCCTACAGGGTTGAGGAGACTGAGAGCTCTGAATTAATATGGAGAGCCTAGGTTGCACAAGTGCAGATTTCCGGCTTTACCGACAGCAGTCAGGCTTGCGGTGAAGTAGTGAAATAGTGAAATGATGAAAACGTGATAAAAGAATTGCATGGACTGTGATTAAGGATTTGTCCTTTTTTAAAAGAAAGATCCAGAGCGATCCGTTGCTCTTTCACCCAGGTACACTATTGCAGGATCTCATTGGGGAAGGTGATTAGTACTGATTACAATATGTGGTAGCCAGGGGGTAAAAGGTCAAACCAACCATTCTGGGACCCCAGAGAGGTTCTGATAGCAAGACTCAGTGACTGCACTCCAGCGCGCAAGTGTTAAGGTGATTCCCTGACATTTTTTGGTTCTTGGGTCAGCCTTTTGGGTGGTCCCAGTGATCTTTTGTGGGATGAGTTGGGATGACAGGTAGAATCTAGAGCTCAGAGAACAGACAGGTGCTTCAGGTTCAGTCTCTACAAGTTTCAACCTTTTCCCAAGCATGCATTATAGACACAGACTGTGTTGCTGCTGGTGTTGGCCACACAGACACTGCTAAACGTCCATTTTCACTTTGATACTTAAGTAGGAGCCACACTAATAATAGCACATTTTAATCAGCTATAATGAATTAATGACATGTCTCTTCAATAAAATGTCATTGCACTTGCAGCAAAAACTTTGTGAATTGAACTGTTTAATGTGTTATCCAGTGTTCATTCAATCATTTGTAAATGTATAGTTTTGATACATTTCTGTAATGTTGAGTTTTTTATATCACCTCTCCCAAACCAGTGATTTTTGCTGGCAGCAGATACACTGCTGATCACAGTTGCTACCAGTGTCCCAGTGGACTAAGCAACATGCTTTTACCAAGTGAAATACTTGAATTGGCAGCTGAAATTCACTAATAACATGTTGCCTTAATTAAACAAAAGGACACTTCTTCAGTGTTTGATTGTGAACATGGTACCATTTATAGTGGGTTTTTTTTTACAGCAGAAGCAGCTTTTCTTGCTGTGAATCAAAATGAAATAACATAATACGGTGAGTATAATATAGTATATATTTGAGGGCAGCAGTCATTGCTCTAGAGAAGGACCTGAAACAGTGCCCTGCTTTCTCACAGCCTGTCTTTCTGGACGGTCGGCTGTCCTGTGAGCTGTGGCACTCTGCAGCCCTCCCACATGTTCTCGGTACGTGTCCTCTCTCTCTACTTGTATCCTGAACCTTCCAGTCCTGCGCAGAGAAGACCATGAGGGGATCGGATACGAATATTCAGAGACACTGACGGAAAGTCAAACCGGTGGATTTCTCCGGAGCAAATGGTAAAGCACAAACCGGAGGACACTACGTGGAAGTGCATTTAATCCTGAGAGCTAAAGGCACTTCCTTGCCCGGAGAGTAGCGAGAGTCTGGAGCAGGTTACCCAGCCATGTTATTGAAGTCGAGACCCTGTCCTTTTTCAAGAAACAGCGGGATAAGATGGTTGGTCCAATCAACTAACAACTAGATGGGCCAGATGACCTTCTCTGATTTGTAACCTTATGTTCTTAGATAGCGGAGCACGTACAGAAATGAGATGCTTGAGCAGGGAAGGCAGGTTCATTCTGAAGCCGACAGGAAGCCAAGCACACACTCGAAGTGTCCCACATGGATGAGGACACTGCAGAGCAGTTGTTTACCCACAGGCGGTAGGGTGGTCTCAGTATTTTTTCTTTGTACCTCATATTTTCCTTTGACCCCACCCAAGCCTCTTCTCTCCGACATGTATGCATGGCTTGACATGATTATGTAGGGCGGTCTGGTGGTGCAGTGTTCAGCAGTGCAGTGTTCAGCAGTGCTAGCGTCCAGCGCTGGGGCCCTGCGTTCCATTCCTGTGATGCTATCCTCCCACATGTCTCTGGGTGCTCTGTTTCCTCTGACTGTCCAAAGGCATGCTGGTAGGTGAATTGGCTTCTGGGAAAACGGGCCCTGGTGTGGGTGCCTGTGCTTGTGTCTGCCTGCCCTGTGATGGACTGGCTTATCATCCAGGATGTACCCTGCCTTGCGCCGACTGCCTGCTAGGATAGGCTCCCCCTTGACCCTGTACTGGATAAAGCCGTTAGGAAATGATGGAGGGAGGGAGAGGGCTCAGCACAGGGTATCAACACCAGGAACCCTTCCTCGAGTCTTGTTTCAGGGGGTGTATGCAGTTCGAGAGAGAGGCCTGCGACAGACAGTACATCCAGTTTCCTGCCTTCTCCTGGTGCGAGCAAGACCCCACTGGGCTGCAGGCCCCAGGGGGAGCACTGTTCTGTAGCACAGGAAACAGGCTTACCTGACAAAACAGTCTGCCTGCAAAGTAAAACAGTGGATGAGTGTGAGAAACCTTGTGGTATGTTAGAAATTGTGCAGTTATTAAACATTATATATTGTCATTAGACATATTATGCAGTTTATTGTATGAAGCCTGGAAACGTATACAGGATCCTTACATTTCCAAAGCGCTTAGACAACTGTTGGGCCTTCCTGTGAGTTCCACTTTAATCCACCAGAGGGAGTGTCCTGCTCATCAAGCATTCTCCCTTTTAGGCTCTTGTTGTGGCAGGACAGAAATTACATTTTTCTGGCACAAGAATTAGAACTTGAGAAATTGCAATATGAGCAGCTGCAATTAACATTATATTATCGTCGCTGCATAACACAATCCATGATACGGTGAGAACACAAGTAAGGTTACACAGGAGAAGATCCCATTGGGCCATTCAGATCATTTGAATGCTAGTATGATCCCAGGATCTCATCTAGCTGTTTCATGAAAGAGTTAGTATTAACTTGTGAGTATCTGTGTACAATTAAGTCATGGCAAAAGAAGCTTTTTTATATGCTCACTTTCAAAACCAATAATTTCAAAGCACATTTTACAAAACGTAAATTAGAAAGCTCAAATTGTCATTTCTTGTTTGAAAAGTGCGGTAAGTATTCAGAAAAGATTCAGCCAAATCATTCTATCAATGATAACGGCTATCTGCATTTTTGGAAATGACAATAATCTACAATTAGAGACTAAGATATGAACAACAGTCAGTTTTGGTGCTTTTACAAAAGCTACAGGACCTTTGAACAAAGTTACGTCAGAGCAGTTTGTGTGAACTGAGATTAATTTGATATTGGTTTGGTATGTGGAGTGCCACAGATAACACATGGTTCTGTCTCAAATACCAAGTAGGCTAGGCATTACTGTAACAGGATAGATCTGTAGCATTAGTTTCAGGATGTCATTGTTACATGATCTGTAGCAATTAGTAATTAGTTAACACATTTTAAGAGCTACAGGCATCGTTCTGTCAATATCTTAACTTTACTCCTTCAAATTGTAATGTTTTACTCCTGATTTAAACAAATACCACAGCTGAACTGATGAGGATTCGTCATCTGTTTCAAAATAGAAGAAATAAAATACCATGTATACATTTCAGTCATACATTTGGGTAAATTCATTTGCCTCTGTCACAAGAGTGACAGATTTGCCTCTGCTCACAACAGAAAAGGGGTGTAGCAGCCTGTTAGGGTGCTCAATGAGGATTTCTATTCAATAGCTCATAGTGCACATGGGCCAGGTGTTGAATATCCTTTGCATTACGTGAAGAGTCCTTTTCAAAGACACTACATTTGTTAAATATAATTGTATAATTTTTCTATGACTGTTTACTATTCCTATACATTTTAATTATTATTTGCTCCAGTTAACTTGCTCAAACATTATTTGCAGAAGTAATACACAGACCTGTAAATTAATTCAAATAAGTTTGGTAGCCACTGATTTTATTAATGTCCTTGTTGAACTATAACTAATTATTGATTTGCCACAGAAAATTAAGATTTTCCAACACTTCATTGTGATGAAAATGTATGATTTGTATTGGATATATCAATAGCATAACTGTAAAAGATAATTATTTTAAAAATGATCATATTTATTCTTACTCTGTAAGTACAGGGCCCTGCAAAAGTGTCCAGACCCTTGCTGTTGTGTCCCATTTTGTGAAGTTATGTTTAAAATAATACTGTTAAATGAATATTTAATATTTAATTAAAATGTAATATTACTAAACAACATGTGAATGCTTAGGGGCAGCGTGATAGTTAGATTTGCTGCCTCATGGCGCTGGGGCCCTGAGTTCAAGCTCTGAGGTGCTGTCTGGGTGGAGTTTGTATGTTCTTCCTGTGTTCACATGGGTTTCCTCTGTGTGCTCCAGGTTCCTGCCACAGTCCACAGAGAAACTGGCGAGCTCATTGGCTTCTGGGGAAATTACCCCTGCTGTGAGTGTTGTTGTGCCTTTCTCCCAGTGGACTGGTGTCTCAGCCAGTGTGTATCCTCCCTTGCGCCTGTTGCTTGCTGGGATAGGCTCTGGCTCCCCCGTGATGCCTTGAATCTTAACTACACCTTGATGTGAAAGCTGTCAGAATCAGCATTATTGATCACCGTACAGAGCCCAAAGTTTTCATGTCGAACTAAAAAGTCTGCTTGAGCACCTTAAAGTACTGTACATTATTCTAAAATCAGATGTACAGATGCCTCTGATCTCAGATCATCTAGAATGCAGAGATACTTTCACTTTTATCAATTCACAAATGCTGTAACAATGATAATCCACGAGTTCAAAGAGCCATGATAAGTTATTGATTGTTCAGGGGGCTGGGTGTTCGATGTGTTTCTTAATGGATATTGTGATTGATCCTTTTCACACCAGCCTTTCCCATTCCTGTGCATAAAGAGAAGCAAATGCAGTATCTCAATATTACAATAAAGTAATAAGTCATAAACAAGGAGTGAATGTTTAGTATATGAGTCTCTGTTGTAAAAATAAATGCTATTCCTCTCATTAAGTTGTTATTCCCTGTGATGTTCATTGCACTCCCACTATAATATAATGAGCAAAATTAACTCTAATGTAATTAGTTTTATTCATACCTAAAACCTCTATCTAATTTCAAAAATTACTATTGGGCTTTTGATTTCAGTGTAGTTAGGATACATGTGGAGTCCATGATTTCATGGCTTACAGGAAGTGTTAATTAAACCATTTGGTCCTTATGATCTTGTATTTTTTACTCCTAAAAGCAAGACTACTTCCTTTCGCATGGGCTTAGTTCTGATGAATGCACTGAATATCTAGAAGAGTCAAACATTTGGAATAATTGTTATTTATTGACTGCTTCTCCATGTCCAGATGTACAAGAAATAGTCAAACATCTGCCAATATTTTTGTTAAACACTCGCTCTCATCTCAGAGTTTTATTCACTCCCCGCCTTTTCTTTCTTTATATACTGTATCACGAACTCTGTAAAGTCCGACGCATCCATGCGGTGTCATGTGACTGTTCTTTGGCTTCACAATCCACGCGCAGTTGGTGATTTAACTGTATCAACACCACTACCTGCAAATAGTTAAATCACCTTTTTTTTACTGCGCTTCTCACTGACTGTATTGTATGTATTGTATTGTTGTCTTATTGTATCATTTCGTTACACTGTGGCTGTGTTGACTGTCCTAAGCTGCTTTTGCACTGCAATTTCCCTCACGGGATCAATAAATTATCTAAATCCTTTTTCTCACAACTAAAATCAGTTCCCTTGCAGATATTTTTCTAAAAAAATAAAAGCTGGACAAATGGGTCGGTCCTGATTTGGGTGAAAGACATTTTTTCCCACTGAAACCTAGCCAATGCATTTTAAATTTGCAGACAGATCGCACGCAAAACAATAACCACCGTTCTGAACGGATACGGCTTCTGATCGTCTGTTGGAGAGGCACGCCACGTCCTGTGAACGAGAGCTTTTGCCGGCACATATTTGTTGAGCTCTCGGATGACACTGGTGTGACTGAGCTCCAGACTGCCCCTGCTCAGCGATGACTGTCAGGTTCCCGTTAATCAGCAGGTACGACATCTTTCACGTCTCTTACTGGCCGGTCTAACTTTAGCCAAAAAAAATCGTGCTTGGCTAGGTGGAGACTGAGATTACTGTACGTCTGAGGCGAGTCGAGCCTGGTTGCATTCCTGTGAAGAAATGTGCTCTTGCAGGAGGAAGCACAGCTGAGCTGCACGCTGTCAGCCTTGACAGAAACCTAGCGAGCCTCTAGAATTTTGATAGGCAGCGAGATGGAGTGTTCATTCCAAATCATTGTCCTGGTATGGTGACTAGGAATATGGTACTACAGCTCTCCTTCAGATGAGTCTTTAAACTGGTGCCCCTATGACTTGATCAGTAAAGAATCCATGGTGTTTGTAAGGGGTATGAGCTCTGGGCCTGGACAATTCACTACACCAGCCAAAGTTCCCCGGTAATTTGATAGCTGAAAACATTTCTCATTTCTTTACCTTAGCTGATGTGTTTCTGGGACTGCTGGCAGAAAATAAATGCTACACATCCATCCGGTGGGGGCTGTACTTTGGCTGTGTATGAAGTGGGTCCTATCCTATAAGTAAAGCAGTAAGGGATTCTTCTCTATGAAAAGACTACGCAAGTACAAGGAATTATTATTCACTTAAAAAGCAGTTGTATAAGACACTAAGTGTATTTTAAGTATTGTCTGTATTGGATTGGCCTTCAGTGTGTTTTTTACTTTTCCTGGGTTATACTGTACAGTAGGTTGAAATCTGAGTTACCTGGCTTGGCTCAGTCCCCTGCAAGAGTCCCTCCCAGAGAAGCCAGGCTATTGGCTGTTTCCAGCACAGGTAGGCGGGGCTTCCACACAATGTCACCCAATCTGATTGGTCTTCCATTGTATTGAGGTGAAGAGAATCATTGAAGTGCTTTAATAAAGAATGTGTAGATGGTTGTGTGTGTGTGCGTTAAGATTATGATTATGATTGTCTCAGGTTTGTACCTTTGCTTTTAAATCAATTCTATCTTTTCTCCTGTTCAGCTTCCAGTAGGGGGCAAAAACACCATCCACTGTACCAAATGCATGTAAAAACTATCATAGCACAGCAGACTAAACATAATAAAGATGAGTGTTGTATTTATTTAAATAGGAATTCATTATGAATGCCATGTAACCAGAGTGGTGTATAAAGACTAGCAATATTGCTACAGTATGTGTATTTGGTTGTTGTTTTTTTTACATAAGCCTATTTTAAACTGTTTTTTGTAAGGCGAGGTGCAGCATTCTTTTCCCAGGACAGTAATATGACACTGCTGTAGTCACAGAGAAATACGCTGGAGAAGGTTTGGGAGAGTGGAGAAATTAGGGTGAAGCAATTATCTAACAAGTATTCTCCCATTTGTTTTCACTCTCAACAGGGCTCTGAAGGTCAGAAGTCTCTAATGGGCTACTGGCTGAAACACTTGTTACTTGGCTAAAGGCCAGAATAGCATTTCCTTTCCTACATTGTGATGCGCTCTTCAGTCTCCTGGTAGAATGTGCACTAAAACACAATGTTTTGTTCATGGTTGCATATAATACAGCAATGTGTTTTGTATGCAAGTGGGAGTCTCTTGTGTATTACAGGCTCATCATATTAAAGCACAGCTTTTGAGAGGTGCACAGGTTTTGCTTTTTTTTTTCCTGGCCTTGGACATAAAAACTGGAACAAAATCAAAACACTCTATATTAATATATTATACAGTATATTATATATAATATACTTTATTAGATACTATATCAAAGTACCTTCAAAGTTGATTGCTAAAGGACATGGGACATAAGAAAGGTTACAATTGGTTTACAAAGTTACAAAGTTTGGATTGCTCAAGGTTTCATATGTGTCAGCCAAATCCCTGATTTTTGTCGAAGACTTTTAGTAATTTCCCTACCTCTCTTTCTGTGTTTGCCAGTGCCCCAAAATTTTGTATCTTCAGCACATTTAACTGGTTTCCAAGTATATTAGAATCTACTCTGCATCATTGACACTAATTAGATAGGGTTTTAAAACACATCCCAGTACACCAGTATCCTCACTGGCCCAATTACAGGGTATGGCCCTAAGATTATGCTCTGTTAACTGTTCATTAGAATGGTCTTGTTCCATTTGTGCAAGGTACCATGGATTCCTATGACTTGACTTTAATTTGAGAACTGACATTTTATGAGAAATTACATTAAAAGCTTTCTTGAAATCTAAAAATATTTTATAGTATGCCTTAATGTAACAATTCCTTCTTTGAAAATTTCAAATAATTTACCTGACCAACAACTCCCCAGCATGAGTTTATGTTGGCCATATCTTACACTGTCAATGTTTCTCTTAGTTTAGCACTCATTATCAATTACATCAGTAATAAATCAGTCTTGTCCTTCGGATGAGATGTAAAACCGAGGTCCTGACTCTCCGTGGTCATTAAAAATCCTAGGGTGTTTCTTGAAACGAGTAGGGGTGTAACCCCGGCGTCCTGGCCAAATTTCCCATTGGCCCTTACCAATCATGGCCTCCTAATAATCCCCATCTCTGAACTGGCTTCATCACTCTGCTCTCCTCCCCACTGAGAGCTGGTGTGTGGTGAGAGTACTGGTGCATCATCCAGGTGGGGCTGCACACTGGTGGTGGTGGAGGGGATCCCCATTACCTGTAAAGCGCTTTGAGTGGAGTGTCCAGAAAAGCGCTATATAAGTGTAAGCAATTATTATTAAATTATTATAATTATTAATTAAGAAAAGTAAGTCTGATTAGTCTAGAGCGGTGGTTCCCAGTCCTGTTCCTGGTGACCCCCACAACTGCTGGTTTTCATTCCCTCCTGCCTGAATTAGAGACCTGAAGGCTTATTGATCTTAGAAGTTGCTTCATTGGAATATTTGCATTTAGTTTCTAGTCACAAGTTTGGGATTTTATGTCACTTACAGGAAACTACGGTTAAAGCTCCAACGTATTTAAGAGCTGGGAGCAAACAGGTCACATTATTATTATTATTATTATTATTATTATTATTATTATTATTATTATTATTGGGTCCATGAAGGGTTTGATTGTGGAACAGAGGGCTCAGCTGGAACACTAAACAACAGGTGTGTGGGTCACCAGGACTGGAAACCACTGCCCCTTGTTCAATTCTGTCCCCCTTTCTTCAGCACTAGTCCTTTATTTGCAGCTTCCATTCTGTTGGTTCAGCTCATTTAGCAAGAGTTAAATATCCTTGCTTAGGGTTCCAAGAATAACACCCCTCGTTTCTGTAAATATGACTGGGAAAATACCACAACGCCTCAGGGATTTAACCCCTAGCCCCTGTCAGTTCGACTAAAATCACCAAATATGAATGCAGTTTCTTTATAACAAGGGACATGTAATTTATGTCTTCTTTTGTAAAAAAACAGAATAAAATATTCCCTTAGCCAGATAACTATTTCTTCATCATATTGAATTTATAATCCTCCATTATCTATGTAAATATTTCTTCACTTCTAAAGCCCCCTTTTCATTCTGACTTATTTCTAATAAGACCAGTGTCTTGGTTAAACCATTTAGAGGATATTATTTTGGAGCTGGATGTCACTGGGTTTGAATTTGTTTCAAGCCTTTAACTTAATGTATTTTAGTGTATGTATGACTATCCTTCTCTCCATCTATCCAAACATTCTCTTTCGTCATCCCACTCAAGGTCTCGGATGAGCAGGTGCCTTTACCAACAAGCAGCGGGCTCAAGGCGGGATACACCCTTGACATGACACCAGTCCATTTCAGGGCACACACTGGACAGGACACCAGTCCATTTTCCCTGGCATGTGCCTTTTGAAAACTGAGTTGGGAATTAATCCTTGACTGTTTCAACCATATCAATTTTCTTTTTTCGGCATTCCCCATCACAGTCTCCCAGCAATATAGTAATATTAATGGTACCAGTACCAAGGTATAGTAATATAACAACACCTTTGTTATAAATATTGCGTATCTGGTCATGCAATAAGCTGCATGTGTGCACATCTGCTTTAGCATAACTGAATTGTTGAGAACATAAAAAAAAGTCTTAAAATAATTTCAGGAGTTTCCAGTTCAGCTGGTATAGATTCTTAATATCCTTCAGATTCTCTGATTTCTTGCTACAGTTCTCTAGCTTGCAGGTTACTGTGGTATAAGGTCCCACCCCACCACCCCTTATGTCCTACCTATGGATCCAAATAAAATGTAACCATTAATTTGATATTTTCCCTTACCGACCTCCCTAGCCACATTATACAGTATGTATACAGTAATGTCTTAGTTCCCTACTACTGCTGTGGCCCTGGGTTCTTCCATCTTATCAAGCACTGAAGCAGAAGGGTTTGAGAATGTTTAAGTTTGTGTTTGTGTTTTAAATTGGTTCTTAGCGTTGGCCCAGGCTCTGCTGATCCCACCAGATCTGTTGGCCAGCTGGAATAGAGTGCGCATATTCTTCTTCAGCCATTTGTGAAATTGTCACTAAATGCTTTGAAATATTTAAATTGAATTTAGTCTTTCCATAGACTACTCCAAGATGGTGAATCTACTGTGTTGTGGCAAAGCCTGGGCTATTTTGTTTTTATGATTTGTGCCTTCAAGAGAGCTTTTTGTCGGATAGCAACGTCATCCTGTTCCTGGCCAAAATATAATAATCTGTAATGAGAAGTTAGTCAAAAACCTTTGGCACAAAGAACTTTCTTCAGCCTATTTTAAACATCCAGTTGTTTCTGGGGTTTTAGGTTTAATATTGCCAGTGCTGGATTTAGGAATTTAAGTTTAGACTCATTCCTGCAGCAAAATGTCCGTTTCTCTCCGATGAAGTACTCTTCCTAGGCACAGATGTTTCTGGTCTTCTCTTTAGAGGCACATTCTCTATAACCGGTCTTTACACGACCATTATTTAATGTGTAATTATTATTTGTTTGTTTTTTGATTTACTGGACAAGGTCCTTTAGTGGGAAAGGTTCATTTGTTAAATGTTTCAGGTGTGATTCTAGAACCCTGTGCTTTAAGGTGTTCTAGCAGACA